TTCAATAAATTTTATACTCTTACTTTGTTACGTCAATGAAAACTCTCGATAGAAAAATATTGAGCTTCAATAATATATGAAAAAATATTGTAACTTCAATTTTTATTTGTCTATTATTTGTCTAATATTTTACTCAAATTATGACTAATAATATAACTTCAAGGGGAAAGAGAATGGAGGAGAAAAAAAATACATATAACAATGATATATATATATATATATATATATATATATATCACTGTAGTTTGCACATCGATCGGTATCAGTGGTTTTAGCACGATCAATCGCGCAATTCTCCACTCCCTGAAACTTCGGCTCTCCTGGCACACGGTACACATTGTAATCCGAAAGTAACTAATTACAAGTACTGCACGCTAATTACATCAATTAGCAAGCCACCTCTCCAAATGCACCTCTTCGAATGCTACGCTATCGAAGCTAGGAGCGAGAAAGAAAACAATCGTAATTCCACTTTGGACGACGTATTCCACTTTGGATCCGGCGCGATTGGCGCCTGGAGTTAGATCGCACGTGGATAAGAGAGTGATCGTTGCCGAGATGAAGCACCGTTTCGTCTACATGTTCCCGATCGGTTCGCGATCGTGCAGCAAAGAGCGTTGAAAAAACCCCTTTTACTCGATTCACCGGCGAAATACGATTTGTTCCTAAAACTCTTGTCTATCCTCGCGCGTGTGTGGGACTCCGCCTTCTACTCGTCACCGATCAACAGATCGACTCCGATCTACAAGTCGCTACAACTCGAGAAGCGTTCTCTAGCGTTTTTATTTTCTTTTTTTTTTGTTCGTTTTTTTTTTTTCGAGCCGGTTGACGTTACTCGCTTGTAACTTGGCCCCCGTACCTTGGGCAGATCGCCCCTGTTGCTGTCTTCACTGCTTGTGAAGGTGCTAGAAGTGTCTATCCCGGAGTCTTTGGTCGCGCTGTCTTGGCTACCCTGCCGATCGGCCTCCCAAGACCATTCCTCCTCCTGAGGGCCGCCGACATTGGTCCCACCGTCAAAACGCACTGTCTTTTTCCCCCTTCTCTCCGTGAACCTGATGGATACGCCACATACACACAGAGACACGAGGACGATAGGTGATTGGTGCCTGTGCACGTGTGTGTGTGTGTGTGTGTGTGTGTGTTTTTGAGTTTGTGTGTATGTATGTGTGTGGTCTGTCATGTCACGCCGCGTGCCGCCGCGATTTCGTAACTCGGTCTGACCAAGTGATCGAGCTCGAAGTATGATCCGCCACCGTCGACAACACGGCCCGTATGTACAATGTCGGTTTATGCTTCGCCTCAGAGCACTTGTCGTTCAATGTTTTTCGGATTGTTGATCAGGAACTTGTTATTGAATATTTTCGTTTTTTTTATATATTCAATTGTAACAATATTGAATTGAATAAATTGAAACAATATTGTAAATTCGGACATAAACTTGATCAGATTCGATCCGTTCCCACAATGTCGCAAAAGCGCAAGCATGTTTTGAATTTCCTGGTGTTTAATTTGAAGGAGAGATTTACACTACGATAATGATAAATCAGAATATTCAGCGTGTGCTGTCCGATAAAATTTTGATTGTATAAAAAGATATTTCACCGGGAGGAGATAATTTTCAATTTGTTGTACTTTTAATTACAATATACACACGACAGTAGAAATTCATATTTTTCAACAAAATATATGACAGAACAAATGTCGTTCCTTGATCAATGACACAATTTTCTTTACGATATTACTTCTGTTTTTTTTTTTGTTTAAATCGAATAAGTGTCGAAAATGTAATCCGATCCGAATATTTGTCTTCGATACATGTACTTCAATTAACGCGATTTTAATGTATAAAAATTCCCAATCGTAAAAGTTCATCATTCATCACTCTACGAAAAATCTTCTGAAGGAAAGCGCGTAATTGCGACATAATTTCAATAATACAGACATTATATTTATATTCCATCTCAATATTTATACAATTTTCAATTATAAAACGAAAAAAGTGAAAGATAATTATTGTTATTTTCGCGTATTCTTAACGAATAAGATTCTCCCCCCGAATAAGATGTTAGGGCAAACAAAAAAAACCGTCTTGCAACGTCGAACTTCTGCGATAGGGAATCCCCGCGTCGAGACTCCGTCAAACTGTTTTCCGTTCTCATTCGCGCTACCGGTATGACGCGCTTCATCATCGCGTACGATCGGCGAGAAAATGAGAGGAAAAAAAAAGCGGCGCACACGATTGTCAGCCTCTTTGAAACGCACCTCCTACTGTCGGCGCGCCACTCGTCGCCGCACCTTCGGAAGCTCCGTCTGACGAGAGTGCTCTCTTCCTTTCGCGGCTCTCGCGGTGGATGATGGCCGTTATGCTCCACGGCCGTCGTGCCCGTGCCCGACCCGTGATGCCCATTGTGGGATCCGCTGTGCCTACGCCCACTACTGGACATCGATTTCGGACCTCCCGCGTGGTGGTAGTACCCTTTCCCTACAGTAGATCCAAAACGTTTCGTGTTTTTCTTTCTCCATTTTCCTTCCTTTCCCTTTTCTCTTCTCTACGAGCGCGTGCGCGGATTTTCTTTTTTTTTTTTTTAAACGTATCGCAAACCCTTAATTCTAGCTACGCTTCTCTCTCCCGCGCTTCTCCAGAGAGAAAAGAGCGTATCCTCCTTTGAGCGTATCCTTCTTTCTGCGCACGCGTCCTCCTCCAATTTTACAGGCGTCGCATTTTTTCGGCGATATCGCATGTCGAACATCTACATACCGAAAACGAAATCATTGAATCGGGGAATTATCCCGTCATTATTATCTCGAGTCGAGAGTGCGTCATCCTGCGATGCCTTACATTGCCTGTCCCGCTCGGTGTTTCTCCCCTCTTTGATTTCGCGTGTCAGCTTCGTGTGTGCGTTTTGTGTGTAGCGATATACCTAACGGAAACGAGATAAAGGCAGCGGTGCAAGCTTGCCCGCGATAAATGTGCGACAGACGACGTCTGAGAAGCGTTAAGTATAGAACCGTACGTTTGAATCTGCCTACGAATGGCACACGGATTGGCGAGAGACGCTAAAAAGTACGACTATATATGCGTAAATTTGTGCAGGGATCGTGTGGTTGTGTGTGTACGTGTGCGCGTACGTGCATAACGGTAATTACAATTTTTTCTTGGCAAAATGTCCATTTAAAGTTCTGAGACGCTTTCTATTTCTTCAGGACAGCGGAATTTTAATGGTGGACATAACAGACTTCCATCCGTTACACAAAAAAACAAAACTGGGCGAGACACAAAAACACATGAAAAATTACCGAGAGATGCAAATTTGGCCTCCGCAAGGTCCGCATTTAAATAAATAAATTAATACACCCGTAATAATTAATCTGGAAAACAGAAATATGCTATGTCGATATTTTCAAAATAACCTTTATTTTCTCTTGAAGTTAAATTCTTGTAAAGTTTAAAGAAAGTACGTCTTACACGCTTACGAATGCCAAAGCTAGCACTGTGTTCGAAAACTTAATACTTAAGATTAGTAAGACACATGAAAAACACAGTCCTAATCCTAATCTTAAAAATGTAATTTTGTTGATGCAGCGTCACATAATCCCAATTAAATGGAAAGTACCTACTACGGGTTTATGCGGATATCCAGATATTGTGTATATGCGAGCGAACGGAAGATGCGGAGATATTTGTGGGAGAGTTGTATGTGTGTACGCGTATATATTCTTGAGTGAAGTGTAGATAAAAATATACCTGTGCACGATTCATAGCCGTCCAAAGTAGAACAAATAAAGTCTATTACAATTCTCTGCCGATCGGTCGCATCACGCGACGTGCGAGTCACGAGAGTTCTTCTCGTAGAAAAACTTGCTATTTTTTTTTACCCTCGCGTCAGTCTCGCGGTTCGAAAGAACAATTTTTTTTTTGCAAAGCGCAAGACAAAAGAAACCTACAAACAATTAAGTATGGACGGCATGTTCCCAATGAAGTTTAATCCTGAAGTTGGATTCAGCGAGACGGAATTTTCAAAAAGTTATCGAATCCCGCGCGAAGATTGCAACGTAAAAGAATGCGCAAAAAAAAAAAATAATATAACGTGCGCGTAATCGAGCCCGCGAGAGTCAGATAAACCAGAAGGAGAGACGAGCTTATCGATCCCTACACTCGGTACGCACGACCGTTCGGCAGATACGTACACACACATGCACACGCATACGCACAGATATACATATTATATATATGTATATGTAAGTATACATACAATTAGATATATGTGTAGCGATTAATATATAGCGAAAGATGATTTGCTTTGTATTTTTACGTAATAAAGTTATTAAGTACCGCGGGGAATTGCCGATTCATTCTGTCTGCCGCCTTCTCTCGCGTACCCCTGGAAGTCATCCCTAGCGGCGGTGGCTTTTGCCCTAAAAGTCGATCTCTCTTTAACTACATTGCAACATACTGTTTGACTTATTGCTAATCATCGAAATAATATGCTTGGCCGCTGCGGTTCATCTACATCAGAAATAAATTGGTTTTTTTATATATGTAAAATATATATATCAGAAATATGGGAATATCGGTGCAAGATTTCGTGCTCGGTGTGTTTAAACACAAGACGCAGACGTAAGTAGACAGAAAAACTGAATGATAGTCACGAAGTACAATGAGCTGTTGAACATCTGTGAATAAAAAATATCGCACAAAATAAAAATGCGAAAGCATATATATATATTCACTTAATCCAACAATTCTGAATTCACCGCGATGAATTTTACAACCATGCTACGAGAACATCGCGAAATGCGAATGATTCTTTGACGTCAGACAGTGTTGCGTAAGTCGTTATTCGGAGATAATTCTCTCGCTGAAAGAAATGCACCATATTAATTTTGTCATGATTAAATATTTAAAAAATCGTACGTAAAAAAATATTTTCAGATCGAAGAGCGTATAAAAGGGACATTTGGGGAGAAGAAGTTCCGTTGTATATACGTATATATTGTCACTACGTAGGCGATGAGTGCGATATAAAAAAAAAAAGAGAAGAGATTCGCGGTTCGTAAAACTAACAAATTGGTAATACGATCGCCACGAGAAAGCATTCATATCATTCAACGACACCTACATAACCGCGTTCCATGCGGCAGTGTGCATTTGATATCCGTGTGTCAATGCGATCTCGGCATTACGACATAACGAGAGACGATAAAAGCAGGAGGAAGGAACGTAACGTTGGAGAGCCGCTCCGTTGAACGATCGAAGGCGCGTAACAATGGAATCCGTCTGGTTACGAAAAGTTCACGCTCGGTATCCGAGAAAACGTTGAATTTAATTTCCATGCGCAGCTATCGACCTATCGTAAATCGTAACCGAGACCGCGAGATAAGAACGTCAATGAGGCAACGTAAAAAGGAGAGAACCTTCACGTCGCGCGTATCCGCGCGCCTCGTCGCAAAGTAACGACCTGCAGCATAAAAGACGGTCGGCCACCGCCATTATCTCGGTTATAATACGTGAACGCAAAATGTTGGGACCTGGAGCGACTGTCGATGGGCGTTTAAGCGCGCGTTTGAAGTGGGCGGAATAGTCACGCATCCGCAGGTACCTGGCGACGCGAGCGTGGCATTTTCTGCTCCGACGAGACGCTCGTCGTGGGTAATAAATAGAAGGAGTGCCAGGACGCGAGCGGTAGCAGATGTCGTTGCGGCGAACGGAAAGGGAGGAGGGACCGCGGAGTCACGCGTCGAGGAAAAGTGTAGAGAATCTTAATTTAAAAGTTAGATGACACCGACTCACCGCGTATAAATCACTCGCAAGATTTTACTGCCCCGTTCCCGGCGCCGCCGCCGCCTTACGCCCACTTTCACGTCGTCGGCGGCGACGGTATCTCGTTTGCGCTCCTATTTCTTATGAAAAAATTTCGCTGAGCTTCGGAAGTTTGGCCGCGCGCGACCAGCATGGATAAAAAAATCCGCGCCGACGAAGACTCATTACCGAGATAACGAAATTGGGTAAACTCGAAATGTGCCGAGTATCTACCACCGCACGTTATCTCACGCCGGTGAGGCGTGATCGATAACGGCGAGAGCGAGACTTTTTAGATATTACGGCGTTTAAGCGTGTTACTGTCGCATCGAATCGCGCTATCAGCAGGTGTCAGAAACGGGGATTATTCTAGGACTTGTGGGTCTCTCTCGCGCGCGGCAGGTGCGCGACTGCTGAAAATCGGACTGGGAAATCTTCATTAGCGTTGATTCCGAGACGCCGAGATTATACGTAGCGCGAGAATATGGGACGGTGCAGGAGAAGAGATTACTTAGAGATTAGACGAGAAGTGGATTATTGCCAGCCGCATCGATCGTGCGGCAAACGTTTCTCCCGGCAATTAATTTATCCTACAAATATCTCTCCTTCTTTTATTCCCCCCCTCGTCTGTTCTCGCGCGGAGAGACACGTGTCTCGCCTTAGGGTTCCCCCGGATTTTCCGCAGGTCCCCCATTAAAACGGGCGATCGCCCGGATAACATAGGTATGAGCACACACGTAACTTACCTCGGCTTCTACAAACTAATTCTCTATTCACTAATTGTATTGTGCATCTACGAATGGGAGCAACAACACCACCGTCGAGCTAGCCCGTCGCTTCCCTCGCGCGTCGTATGCGTTCAAGAGCGATTCGTATACGATTGCATATCCTCACATATGATTACTCCTTGTCACCCCGGCCTTAACTTACGATTGCGTTGCTGCACGCAATCACCTCTCTCCGTTCGTCAGACTTTTCAATGAAGCATGTGTTCGGCTAGATACACCTCATCTCATCTCGAATGTGAACGCGGCCAGATGCTTCGTGGCCAGTTTTACACGTTCGTCAATTCTTAGCGCTTTACTCTGATTCCTTAGACTCAAAAAAACCGCAAAAAGGTATAGACAATCGATTAAATTAAGATTGAAATCAACCGACGTGGATGTGATGAAACACCGGCCATTAATCTGGCCGTCGGGCGTGTGACCGATCATCCAATGCATATTGTTTTCACTTTCATCTTGCAAGTTCGTTCAAATATGATATTCGTAACGAAAGCGATTAATATATACGCGTCGAGACTCCTCTCACGCTTTCCGGGAAAGTTTTGCCGTGCGTCGTTTCGTCGAAAAAAAAAAAAAAACATATAGGAGGAAAAAAAGAAGCGCCGAGACTATCGGTCCGCATTGCCGCTATTATTGGCATTTTTATTGACGGTAGGCCGGCAGACCGTGCGTCACAACGCGCGGCACGGCGCGATGCGTGCCTTTGATACGCGTAGTCTCCGCAGTCACCGCGGTCTTTCTGCGGAGACTAGCGACCGCCTGATTCCGCGGCCTCCGTGTTTATCCCAAGCTATCGCGTAGCGATCAAGAGGAAATATCACGTGGCGTATAATATAGAGACAGTCGGCCTACTGTGTCTCCTCCTGTGACAGAAATAAATGTGGAGGAACGGATATCTCAGAAGGGAGGCAGGAGGGGAGGGATCAAAGCCGTACGCGCTCTGCAAAATCTAGGAGGGAGGTTGCTTTAACTATTTGCATCGCCGGATATACGGTAGGCGCGTGTATGCGTATGCACTCCGCGCCCACATGTTTGCACATTTACATGAATCCGTAACTAACTGTATAATAAATCGTTGCGCCTCTGCTGAGGTCTCTTTCAGCTTTCGCGGGAGAAGGCAATTTCATTTATTTTCCACGAGCAGAGCATCATTGCAGGCTTCGCAAACTACTTTCTTAATTCCGCCCCTCAGACGTATTAACCATGCAGCAGACGCTTCTCTCGATCAATGAAAGACACATATTTAATGAGTATTCGATGTATTTTATACGGCACGCAACACACGCAGTATCGTTCAAAAGCGCTAAAATTAAGTTAAAGGCGCGGCAGTTATGACCGACTTTAATTTTACGCGATTCCTCTTCTCTCATTATATCTATTTTTCCGCAATAGATTCAGCGTGCCTCGATTCCTACGTGGAAGGTGGTTCAATTTCGATGCGCGCGCTGCGCCAGATTTATGAGTGAGCAAGTATTCCATAGTACAATAAAAAAAAAAGAAAAAAAGAAAGATGAATACAGCGCCGAAGCCTTGTTCGTCCGACCGTCAAATTGCAATGTCTTCGGATTAAATTTATACGAGGCTCCACCGTCTACCCTCCACCTCTTCCTTCCCCCCCGAGAAGGCTTGATCCTCTCTGTTGTGCCGCGTGGGTACACTTGATGCAAGGAAAAAAAAACTGCTGCGGTGCATAAAACGCTACTGCGAGCGCTAATATAATTACGGTTATCGCGACTACAGTGCTCTCTCGTTTGTCACGCGGGCGATCAATCATGGAAAATGGTCGGTGCACGTTGCGCGGACAAATTAGCCCGTGAACTCCCACCGGAACCACTGTAAAACGCGTCGCGAAGGAAGAGAGAGAGAAAAAAAAATAATGGAACGCGCGTCGGTCGATTCGAAAAGCGCGATCATACACGGCACGCAGTTTTCCCGTCGCCCTGCAGAAGTAGGGAAAATGTCAAAGTTTCTCCAGCCTCCGTTCATAAGTAACGAGTCGCGCGGAGGGATGGCGGACTAGTGTGGGTTCACGTGCTCTTCATTGTGTTCCCGATGACATTTCGTAACCCCATTTCGCTGACTACGTCGGTTTATTTTTTCTTTTTTTTTTTTTGAAAAAAAATTTGCGTCGTTGCGCAGAGCTCGAAGTTATGGTCGAATTAACTTCAAAAGTGAAGCCGCGGGAATGTTTAATTTTACTGTGCATCGGCATTGTATGTGCCTTCAAACGTTATAGGGAATTGTATTTCGAAATCAGAGGAGGTAAGTGATAAATCGGTTCGCGCTAACGAGGCGAGGGGTCAGAAGTGCACTCGTAAATTCAGGTGCCGGAGGGAGGAATAATCTCCAAGATAATCATTCTACGGGTCGAGGAGAGCACTGAGCCTTTGAGCCGGCGGGCCTTTTTTCCGGCCAACTCCTGACCGGTTAGAGGTCGAAGACTATTCAGAAATGAAGAAGGGGCAGATGTTTGAATTCGCCCACGTGCTGGCCGTGTGACGTCACGGCCAGCGTGTGGGCGTAGCGAGGTACCAAGAAGAAAGAAGAGGGTTGGGGTGGAAATAGGAAGACCGCGGCGAAGGGAGGAAGGGCGGGAGGGAAAAAGAGAGAGAGAGAGAGAGAGAGAGAAAGCAACAGCAAGCAGAGCGCAAGAGAGGGTTGGACGGATGGGTGAGCGAGGGGCGAGAGGACGCCAAGGATCAATGCAACGGCGAGACCGGGAGGGCAGAACCTGAGAATTCCCGCGGGATACATCGGCGCGACGCGGTATACGCGATACACGATCATGGATTTAAAAAAACAGCGGACACCCTCTCGTCTCTAAGAAAAGCCCCCATCCCCCACTCCCTCACTCGAAGGAGACACGCGCCCGATCAAATCCAGTCGATATTCCGCGGACGGATCGCTGGGAGGACCGTAAAGGGAACCGAGTACGCTGGCCATTATAAAATCGATACGTGCGCATCAAGTTATATAACGCGGCATTTCACGTGTGCGTTTACTATACACAATCCATTCGCACGGAAATTATTAAACGCGACCGTATTATTCGTCACGATCCCATTTCGATTGCCATCGCATTGTCCCGCGCCACGAAATTCGCACGAGGATAACACGGTTACGCGCGTTTTGGCTAAACCCGAATCAACCGATTGTCCCCCGGGAAAAATTTTACGACGGCGAGATTTGATTTATACGCATAGTCATCGATCGCACGTTATCGTGGTTACACATGCGATGACCCAAGATCCTCAGGCACGTCGAATTTCGCACTTTCGCAGGGATTCTGCTGTGCGACCGACGCAGAAACTCGGCATATCCGACCTTCATCATGTGGAAAAAGTGATGCACGGCGGAGGTAGGCAGAATACAGTTTATTTCTGTACCCTGCGAGAGAAAGAGAAAGAAAGACAGAGAGGGGCAGAGAGGGGGAGACAGAGCTTCACCCTACAGGTGCGCACCTGGATGAGTCGGTTCACAGTTCGCCGATCTCGCGTTTAATCAACTGTGAATCGCATACATACATCGCACACACGGTTCCCTCACCTTCCTCCGATTTTTGGGAACGGAACGTTCTCCACGAAAACAAACGCGACAGCAAAATATTGCTGAGGATGTACATGAAATTTATGAGCTACTTTGATAATCAATTAAAGTATAGCCGATTTATTTCGTCGTTAAAGTATCTCATAACTGAAACGCGACAGAATCATACGCTTTTATTACATTTTTAAATAAATGTAAAATTAATATATAAAGTTGACTCACGAAGCATATACTTCTCCTTAATTTTTTTAGCCAATAATGTGTGATCGTGAAATAATTTCATTAATAAAATGTAAACAAGAACTGTCGGGGTAAAGAATTATATATATATAATTAGACCTTTTTTATATCTAATGTTTATAAATATTAAATTGATATTTAGTAGCATTAAGTCATATTCAATACAAACTATTTCAATTGATATTACATTTTACATTTTACGCGTGTTGTCAAACAAGAGCATTGGATTGATCGATTACACTTTCTATAACCGCCTTATGATATCGTGAATACGCGTGTTCTTTATAAACCAAATATCTATTGACACGGAAAGATTAGACTTTTCTCGTGCATTGATTTTCAAGGGCAAGGCCGACCCTTCCGATTATATGATATTTCATCATGCACTTTATAATAAATTCAACAGCAATTTTGGCTATTTAGCCAGATTTTTTCCTTAAATTTTACTAATAGCGTATTTCGCAAAAAAATAAATAAATATAACATAAATGTAATATAATTACAATTGTCGCGATATCTGTAAAGTATTTTATCAACTAATCAAAAAATTAACACAACAAATATGATAAAAAAGATTCGACGAAAGACGTACTTAATATTTAAAACGCGTATATACTATTACCACATAAATCGTTTCGTACATACCACTTATTTTGAATTAATCCAAATTACACTTTATGATACATAAATTAGCTTTAATTTTATAAATAGCCTGTTTTCGTTCTGAATTAAAACTCTTCTTCAAAGAATCCAAATGAAATTTATATCGCGAGTAGTAGCGATCAAATGAAGTATCTCATTAATTTATATCGAGTGGTGAGAATAAAATTAGAGATAAATATTGGGATTGGAGGATTCGCTTACCCTTCTCCGACTCGTCCGGCTCGTCCAGCTCGCTGGCACATTCCGGTGTGCTTCGCTCTTCCTCGCTGCTACTGAAACTTCTTTGCTGCGGGACGCCCACTGTTGACGTAGGTTGAGCGGAACGTCCGCCCTGTGTCTGATGCATCGAATGCTGCTGTGAGGGATGCACTGTAGTACGAACGGAGCCAGTCTCCATCGGTGCCTGACCGTAAGTCATCCCGAGGTCTGTACCCTGATCCTGCATTGCATTAAATAATCGACACGTTATAAAACTTGTCAGTGGAATCCGAATGCGTGACATGCATATCAAGTTGCATAACTTTCAAATATAATTATCATTAATTGATCCATAAAAAATATGATATAATTTTAAGAAATATAAAGATTTTTATATAAAGATTGTTAAAAAGCATTCAATGAAACATGAAGTTAATTCACTGTAACATTTTTATCTAAATATTAAAAATTAATATTATAAAAAATATAAAAATTTTGAATTATGTCAAATAAATGTATATAGAGAAAATAATAGTTGTATGTTTTATTTTATAAATTTTATTAACTCTTTGTTACTTTGTCAATGACTAAATTTGCAAGCTTCGCACGAAACATGATAAAAGTGGCTCGTCGAATTTAATGCAATTGCACATATATATGAATTAACTTCCATAATTTTGATAAAGAATCGATTCGAAATTATCGGTCCTCTTACTTGATAGGTCGATCGTTGCCTCTGATAATTCTGCGGATGTTGTCTCATCAGACCGTCGAGTTCGCCTCGGTATAAATTGGGATCGTCGTCGGGATAGGATGCAGGATGCCTCGGAATTTGTTGCACCGGGTAAGAACCAACCACGTGGGGTGTCGGTAAGGTTCTCGCGTGGGGCGAAACGGACATTTCCACCCCACTGTCGCTCGTGGACATCCGGCGACCCGAGATCTGCAATCATAGGAACTCCACCGTGAGTGCTCTGTGTAACACGTCGCGAGGGTGCGGGCTGATAATCCGACGGCTATATGAACGGGAACGCCTCGACCTTTCCTTCCGTTCGTAAATAAATAAATCGCGGAGATATCAAATGTGCGAAATATTGCGAGCTTATCACGGTGCGACGCTACATATTTATGAGTGTAAGGAGCATCCAAGCATTTACGTGCGCAAAAGTATATTCTACCTTGTAAATAAAAGAGTGCGTTCCGACAAGAATATCGGGCTGGCGAGCGAGAAGAACGTTACCTGCTCTTGCTGGGAGTACTGTCTCCTGAGAGGACAGTTTCCGCTTCTCTGTAATAACGGCAAATTCTCTTTCTCAGCCGCACTGTGCGCCCTCTCGAGTTTCGGTCTTTTATCCCGAGTTTGGTCCGCGAGTCCCTGATGACCACCCACCTGCAAGTCCTCCTGCATTTGCCGCAGCAGCGCGTTGTCCACGGCGCCGAGGCTCGTTTTCGACATCCATTGCCCGGTCTTCGAAAGAAGTTCCTGCTTCTTCCGGCAAAGTATGCACACCCATATCACCTGGAATCAAAAAAATAGCATTCCCGTGTTGTTGACCACGAAAAAAATAGCGCGAGCACCCGTTTGTAAATCGGCGCTGAGCATATTTTGGGCGCTGGTGCGCTTAAAAGATTATTGTAAGGTGTATGCTTTTTTACTAAGGATTACCGAGGAAACGAATGCGTGCGCAAAAATTTTATCTCTCCAAAGCGCGAAAGTATCTTGAAAACTTATCGATCCAGGTCACCGCGTGTGGCCAGTGACGAGGATATTAATAGGAAATTACCTATAGGAAGTCGGCCGGTTACCAAGCTAATTGGAATGTATAAAGCGGCGTGAGATTGATTATAGAAGCGAAAGACACACACCAACTCTTAGAGTAGCTTGGGTAGCAACGAGCGACATATCTTATTTTGCAGCGAATTATCGTCGCTCGAGCGCGTCATTTTCGCAACAAGACGAATCCGCATAAGACGGAATCGAAGAATGACGTTCTAGACTAAATAAGTACGGTGAGTATTTGGAACACTTGTATCCGCTCTGCTACGCAGAGTTTAAAATCTCGCCGATTTTACAAAGAGAAATTCCTCTCCAAGTTTCCCGTCGTCGGACCGGGCCATGGCCTCGGGCTATATTCTTATGCAAATCCACGCGAATCTGACTAATGTTAAATTAAATTGAATAGACGCGAACGTAAAGATGAGAAGGGTAACAAAAGAAATCTGTTCGCAGAACGCATATATATGTAGACGATCAAACGGCAGTTGTAATTCTTCTACGACTTCTTTTATGTATCTTCGTCAGTAAAAAAGAAACTTCCTCTTTGCAAATGCTTATCAATTTGTCCTACTCCTAAATATTAATTCGCATCTCAATAATAAAATAAAATGATACGCAAAATATATTTAAAATTAGTCGTTTTCAAATTTTTTTCAGGTGCATTCATAATTTATAATGTAATATACTGTGCGATATTTCTGTTTTTTATGATATTTTTGCATTTTTAGCTTTGAGCACGGATATAAATTAGATATTCTACTTATATTAGATATCGAATATATACACGTATCTATCATTATTTAAGTAATCTGTTTTTAAATATAATTAAATAAATACGAAATACAAGTTATTAGGTAATAATACAAATCCGTAAAATGGAAAAACGTTTCGTAATATATTCTAGTGTGATACAAAGAGAGGATGACATGAGTCAGATTAAGAGGCGGCATATTTAACATAAGATTAATCGTTTCAATAAATTGCCTATAATGTGTATTCTTATACGCAACTGTTGCGTATCGGATATAATGAGGGTTCACAATTAGTGAACTACCGCTCGAGTCAAGTAGTTTGCACTGTGAATAGAAACTAGTAGAATATTTCATCAAGATAGAGAGTGATGGATGGAGCGTTTAGCAAACTACAAAACAATGCCTATGCAAACTCTCATCGATAACACTTTGCTGCCCACTCCCGCGTTACATTGAGAAAATCATGATGGGGATCATTGACGCTCCCAAATAATGTATAGAATTGGAGGTTTCGTTTATTCTCTGAGAGAACAGAGAATGACGCACGCGAAAAGAGAAAACTTTAATTATTGTTGTAAGAATTCCGATTTCAAACGTAAATTAACGTCAAGGTACGACGAACTTTATTTTAGTTTGATGACGAATTTGTTGAGAGCTGAGAAAGTAAGTGCCTGTCAACCTACTTCGTGCTGAACGCTGCGTGACGAGTGAACGTGATTCAGTATCGTGAATTCATTGTACATACGTCAAACTCTGCCTTAAAGGAACATGTAATTTTTGTAGCGGCATGATTGGATGATATCGTGCGATATACAATGAATATATACAGTCGACACTTCGATTCGTTGTTGCATGATAATTTTTACACCATGTTTTTTCTTATATTTAATTCTAAATGAGATAATATCTCGTGTGAGCTACACAAAAATTATTGCATCATTATATATAAAAGTATGCACAACTTTCTGCAATAAGCATTAATGCTCAGTGCTGTTGACTAAAATTATAGTCACTTAATAAAATTGCCAAATACAACATGTAAATGTAACATAAAATACATAATGTGTACGAACCGTACTAATTATAAGATGGTTTTTCCCGTAATTACATGAACATTATACCCTATACACAGACACAGAGAAAGAGAGAGAGAGAGAGAGAGAGAGAAAGAGCTACCAACCATCAATCAATCAAGAGTTTATTACGATACTACATTCTATATCTTTCACGGAGGAATAAGTACAAAGACATTTTATACTTGGACACGTTTCTCCTAATTCGCACGTTTCGTTAAATGTTTCTTTAAGAATTATCGGAAAGCTTTCGATGTCATTTCGCGGGCTGTAAGTTTAACGTTTTAAAATTGAAAGGAAGAATTCCAAAAGTAGAACCTGCGGAAGCTATAGAAAATACGCACGGAGAGAACGATGAAAGAAAACGTGTCGCGTAGTAGGTATACGTGCGCACTCGAGCTTATTACCTCAAACTGCGACCGCGAGAGACGAACTTCCGCGAGGCGAATTCGAATACGATATCGACGTCACACGTACGTGCGACGATCGCGTACGCTTAAGCGAGGTATCCTCCGACGAGGTACTCGCAACACCGACACGGTTCAAACTGACAGCACGCCTGTAAGGAAGAGTCCGCGAGGAGTGAACAACTCACACAAGAGAACAACGAAGATATGGAGAAAGGGAGCCGGGGAGCGAGGGAGGAAGCAGCAGCAGCAAAGATAGATGCGGAACGGGAAGAACTTGAAGAGCACTTCGTTGAGTTGCCTAGACAGCAATATGTCAAGAGCTCACCCTCTTTCCGCGATCTCCCTTCGCTCGCCAGCGTCCTTCGTCCGCCGAAAATATTTCGTACGTGTGACACATGTGTGAGCTGCCGATGCTGAACACCTGCCGATGTTTAATAAAGGGAAGGAAAAGAGAGAGAGAGAGGGGAAAAAGATCCTCGAGCCTCACTATCCGCCTGCGCAACGATTCGAGAGAATCCGGTGCCGCGATCATTAATTCGGCGAATTGACCTGCGTCGGTGATTTGCATTAATTAATTAGGGACAAATTAATTCAGATTACTTTATCACCACGCCAAGTATACAGCAAGTCCTACCGGCGCGGCGGGTATACCGGCCGCCAGCCGGGGTCGACAATGGCAACAGCGATGACACACCGGCGTCGTCATCAACGTTCCGATACTTCGAGCAGGAGGAACGATCGATATCACACAAGTTCGTACAAGTCAATCCGATAAGTCACTACGACGTCAACGATATACGGCAATGTAATATTCGCCAGCGATTCAACGTGATTCCGTCTTGACTTGGGAAAATGTGATCGATGCGAACTTTGAATATGTAAATCCTGTTCACATATGCTAAATTATCTCTTGCCTTATAATACTGGTCGAAGGAGAGAGAAACAGGGAATATATTATTTATTCTTATCATCATCAATAATTTAATATCTCATAAATCTCATTTGATTTATATATTTATTTTACTTGTCTCAAAAAAAGAACACAAATTTTTATAAAAAATAAACATATTATTACTAAATTGTAATTTAAGATGAGACAATGTAAAATCGATATGCTCGTAATGTCGCACTAACACTGTTCTCATTCTTTCAGGTCTTCCTCTTTGATCACTCGGAATGAACCCGAAACTAAATCAACTGAACCCGCAGTCTCGTCTGAAGGAGTTTCCGCTTTCTTGAATAAAGCATTGTTTTTCGAAGAAAATAGTTCTATGAGACCGTCGCGGAACAAAAGAACCTTCTTTATTGTCCCCGACCACCTGATGGATGAGAGAAACGTAGGAAAAGATAACGGAAAGCACACTGCGACGCTAAGGGTTTCGGTCGTCGCGCGCAAGACGTCCCTGTGTAGAACAACATCCTCAGATCGCCCTTCAGACGCAAGAAGAGCTCGCTCCGTATGCACCCTCTAGCGAGGCGTGTCGTATCGGGGCACTTCGAAAGACCAACCCTGGAATCATGCTTCAGCATATAATACGGACGAAGTTACATGGGGGGGGGGGGGAAGTACGTGCACAAGTCCGGCTTTACGTAAATGACGGTCAAGCCTTTGAGGCAAGCCGACGCAATTACGAAGTGCTCTCTCGTTTTAGGAATCAGTTTGCACACACGAGATCGGCAGAGTTTCAAATGATACTGTCACCGATCCCGGACGGATTATTGTGCACGCCGAGGGATGTTATTGTGTATCAATCGCCGCTATCAATCGTCAGTGAATCGCACCGATAATAAATTAGCATAATGCGAAATTAATTTGACAGACTGAAACAGTACGCGAGCTTTCGCTTATCATTGATGTTTTTACAATGTTATATAAACTGCGTACATATAATAAACGTACCCATAGATGAAAACATTTAATGGGCGGTAAAGATTTGCCTTAGTGAGAGTTTACGTCGTAAAGCTTCATTCACGAAACTCTCGTAGAATTCAAGAGTCCTCCGTCCCACGGAGATTGCGAGGATTTCGAAAGTTTACGAAACGCAATTTTATCTACTCGCTCGCTTTTAATGACTTTGACCTTTGCCTTTTTGCATCTTTCTGATAGGAAGCATAGATCCATATTAGCGTCAAGGGCTTATACTTTGTCCGGCGAACTTTTCAGGTGTCCTACATATAGAATGAGGGAGAGTCGTATTCCTAAGTCGCTGCTCCACGGAGGGCGTCAGTTGAGAAACGACAGATGCTGCCCGTAAGTCAAAAGTACTAGGCTCTTAGCGAACTTTCGATCGTTAATACCCCATTGGGAATGTGTGTGTACGTGTGTGCATGTCTAAGACGCCGCGAGAGAGTCGCATATATTTATTATCGTCCCCCCCCCCCCACACACACACACACACACGTAACTCCTATAATTCGTTTATGATCGCCGACGTGCGAGATGCGAGGAGATGCAGTCGCTCTGAATTACTAAAGCAACGAGAAATATTTTAGTAAAAAGGCACCGT